CGACAGAACTTCCAAAACAATTACTTTCATTGCTCTCTAATGCACAGTTTTTAAAGGTCCTTTATGTCTTCCTTGAAGAACAGCAATAAAGAAGTAGGGAAGTGTTTGTCTGGGAATGACACAACGTCTGGAAAAATAAAACAGAATTTTACGTCTGGGTAAAACACCAGAGGTATTTTTTATATATACAAAAATACCTCTGGGTGGCTTGTTTTAAATCATACCATAAAATTACTCTTTTTTTCTTTTTGCATAGTTTAATGAAAACGGAATATTTACCTATCAAAGGAATATGCTGTTAAAAAAAAAAGTATTACACAAATAAAGGAACTCTATAGTAATTTTTTCTTTAACAAGTAAATCTTAAAATAAATCTCTTCAATGTTCAGAATGTAATGTTTGAAAGTGCTGATCCCAAAGCTTATAAACTTCTGGGGGAAAAAAAAAAATAAATGTAAAGGATTCAGCCTGGGAGCCAGGTTGTTCATATACATCACGGTGTGCACTGAGATTTGATCAAAAGCTAGAAGTCCTATCAACTGTCTGCCAATCCATCCCTCCCCCTAGACAAATGGGTACATTATTTCTGGTTTCTTCACAGGTCAGAAAGTGGTATTTTAAATGCATCAAAGCTATTCTTGCAGCCCTGTCAACCACAGCTGTTCCTCTTTCATATCCAGTAAGTACTTGTAGTTGTGTCCAGAGTCTGCTCAGCTGTACCGTCCAGATGCCAGTCACCAAGGACAGACACTCTGTCTAGCACGGGCATCTCTCAGAGTCCACAGCAGCTTTAACTGTAAGCTGATGATGAGCTCTGGCTTGAGCTGCTACAGCACACAAGTCATGTAACTTCTGTGGAAAAGTAAGTAAAAAATCCTCTCTCGTTTTTTAAAATTTGCTTTGTGCTATATGGCATACAGTAGCCATACAGATGACATCAGCAGGCTTTTCTGCAAGTAATGGGTCATTTTCCTACAGACCTGATAGCAACTGGTTCCACTTTGTGTAATTTTAATGTTGCATGCATAATCAAAATGTCAATTGAAAAAAACAGCACCAAGGAGAGCTATTTCATCTCTGGTACACAAAAATGGTTGAAACAACGATCTATTTAACCCACTGCTGTCTCCCTTAACAGTCACCAAAATTAGTCAATTACGGAGGACCCTAAGAACAGGGTAAGCACAGAGTGGTTCTTCCTGTCCTCTGCTGACATCCCGGCACACGGTACGTTTATCTTCCATTAACTTTTTCTCACCGCTTTTCAGAACTATGTACATGCCTAGTGTTCACCATATACAGCGGCAGAGTTCTGGATTTAACAGTGCCAGGTACCCCCTTTTGCATTAAACGTGACATCTAGTAAAACGGACATCCTTGGTTTCTCGTCTTGCTGTTTTCCTTTTCATGATCACTTGCAGCTCTGAAAGCATGTGACGGTGAAAACTGGAGAAAGGGGGGTGTTTTTTTTGCTCTTTTTCGAATGGCACATGAATTTCTACGTACAAAACACTTCAGGCTGCGGATGAAGCGCCCATACCCATCTTCACCATTTCCGCATTGGGAAAGGTCTTCAAGGGCAAGAGATTCCAGCTCCCTCATACTCCTAGAGAGTAAGAACCCTGCCGATGCACTGTAAGACACACTCCAGTCTACGAAAGGGACACCTCCGAGGACGACACGGCCCACGCACCCCCTCCAGCTGCTCAGGGGGGCGGTTTCTCCAGGGGGCAGGGAGAGGACACACGCATGGCTGAGCGCCCTTGTCCTCCCCAACAGGCAGCCTTCAGGAGAAACACCACCCATCTGCCCACAAGGACAGGGGGCGAGGAGGAAGCTCCAGGCTGCTGCGGGACCAAGCCCACCGGAGCCACCGTGCCCGCAGACGCCTTAAACCCTCTACGCCCCCTGCTACAGAGGGCCCGGGAAGATCCCAATCTCCCCCCCCCGCTACGTGAGCCTCCTGCGCATGCGCACCGCGACCCCTCCACCCGCGCCTGCGCACTAGGGCAGGACACCCCCCCCCCCCCCCCCCC